TCAGGTCCTTAATCCATTTTGAGTTAATTTTGATGTGCAGTGATAGACAACAGTCTAGTTTCATTCTTTTGCAGGTGGCTTTCCAGTTTTCCCACACCATTTATTGAAGAAGCTTTCCTTTCTCTACTTTGTTCTGTTTTTTAAAATAATCTTCAAAATTGCCCTATGGGGAATAAGTAATGACATTGTCATCACGTTTTACAGCTGAGGAAATTGAGGCTCAGAGAGCTTAAGTGACTTGCTCAAGGTGACAGAGTTAGTGTGTGGCAGAGCAATTCTGATTCCAAACCTCATGCTTTGTTCACTACATTATGCCTGGACCTGTATTCAAGGAGTTAGCAATCCATTTGAAAAGAAAGAGAAACTTTGTAAAAACTCTCATATGAAAATGTTTCCTAATTTCGAAAAGTCTGGGAACATTTTAGCAATTCTCTCTAGGGGATCCAGGCAGAAAAGATGCTAAACCATTGGATTATGTATGAAAGAATATAGATTTTAGAAAGAAAACAGCTAAAGAAATCACCATAGGAAATTGATGGGTATAGTGTTATATGGTTTTAAGAATAAAGATTAAGCTCCAAAAAAAAGCTATTTTAAGAGTGAGGTTGAAGATTAAAGCTTGCCAGATTAGTAGATGAGCTTGCAAACTGGAAACTTGAACTTTGTCTGGTCATGCTGTTAGAAAATATTAGTGGCTTATTAAGAGCTTATTACTGTGCTTTATTGTGTATATTACCTTCATTTAACTTTTACAATAAGAATGAGAGACTATTATTATCTCAATTTTATAGGTGAGTAAACTAAGAATTCAAAAAAAAAAAAGTATAAAAACTGACTAGCTCGTAAAGGTTGGATCTGAGACTCAAACCGAAGTCTTACTCCAGAGTTGATGGTCTTAATATGTCCCCCTCAAGACAATAATAAATGGAAACCACTATTGGTGTGTTTTGAAAGCAGCCCAAAGGGAAGTCCACATAAGATGTAATTAAATAGCAATTCATAATAGAAAACTACTTGAGTCGGGATATTTTTCCTCTTATATAAGCCTCTTCCTATTATTTCTGATCATATCCATTTTAAAAAGAGGGCTAAATTGAAGAGGTTGCTAATTTGCTTAGGATAGTTAATCTTTAGAAGTGTCTTTAACGTATTTTTTTTAAACTTTTTTTGCCATCAAAATATTCTTCAATACCTTTTACTAAAACACAACTTCCCCTCTCTAATCTTATTTTTCTTCCCAAATCTACTTTTCAAGAAATTGTCATTTAAACATATACCAACATAAAAGGGAATTTAACTTCTTAATTGTCCACATATTCGAATAGATCTAAGGTTTCTCAGTCGGAGCTCTAAAGAAGAACCCACCCACAGCTGATCCACAATAAGGGCCCTATCCTTTCAGAGAACAATTTAAATTAAAAAGTGCAAGAGAGGTGCCCAGTCAAGTCCTGTAGCTACACCAAACTGTACCGTGTCATAATTGGATTACATATAAAAAAAAGAATGCCTAATACCACAGAGAATAAATAATAAATACCAAATGTTGATGGTAGTTTGTAAGTGAGAGAGAGCCGCTGCAGCTCTGGAGGCCAAGAAAGAGAGCAAAGTGAGATGATCAATAAAGAAGGTTTTGAGTTGCACAGATCTGGGTTTGAAATCATCTGTGTAACCTGTGAACCAGTGATTTGACCTTTTTCAGTTCAGTTTCTTCATTTATAAAAGAGGAATTTTGAGATTAGATAAAAGATAAAATATTTGGCATGATGCCCTGCTTGTTCTGATGGTCAGTCTCTTCCATTATACTGTGACCTCTTCAAAACCTGTATCTATATCCTGCTCACATTTGTGTCTCTCAGCCTTTGATGTAGTGCATAAGCTTCCCCATTCGTGATGCTTCCTTCTCTACAAAGGATATTCCATAATCAGTCTACTCCTGGCCTTTCTCGGCCCTTGACATATTCCACACTAGGAGAAGTGAATGGTTTACAGGATTGATGAATCAGGAAAAGCTTACCACATGCCACTCTCTACGTTCTCTTGGGAGCATTCAGTCTCTTCCACTCTTTCATACCATAAATCTTACTGTCCAGTGCCGCCACAACCAAGTGGGCAAGTCTTCCTAATTCTGGAGTCTAATAATATGAAGCATATTTTCACAAAAATAGCGAAGGGTAAAGGGACACCTGGCTGGAAAGGTAGATTAGAACCAGATTGTGGAAAAGAGCTTGCTATGCCTTCATTATATGACGTTTAGGCTGATTCCTTAAAACATATAGATGTTGATAAAGAATGGAAAGAATCTACATGCTAAACCCAAAATAATACTTGCTGTGTTTTTGATGTTTGTATAGTTTTGTTATGTGTGTGGTTTGGGGAGGCGATTATCTTTCGGGGCGGGGTGGGGGCGTGTTTTGATTGTGTTAAGGCGGAAGGATGGAGTATCGATATTTTAAATTTTGTGTTATTTTAAAAGTTATTTTATACTAAGGTACTAATAAATCCATTATTTGATTAACAGACCTGCTAAATCAGTTTTTATCTAGGTGTGGTCCAGAGCTCTGCCTCAGTATTACTTGGAGGGCTTTCAGAATACAATTTTCTATGCCTCACCTCAAATCTGCCAAACCAGAATCTGGTGGCAGGGGTGAAGCCCAGGTGGTTTTTTCACTCCTTGTTTAAGTGCATAACCTGCCAACAGACAGGTGAATTCAGTTTAAATGTTCATAGAAGAAATTGTGCGTGTGTGTGTGTGTGTGTGTCTGTGTGTGTGTAGTTATTCCTAAATCAGATTATTGACCATCTGATCATTGTTCTAGTCTTTTTTTCTAATAGATCGGGTCAGCCCTGCTTACTCAGCCAAGGATATGTCAAAACCCCAGATGGGCCTTTCAAATATGTGGCCATTTTGTGTCTTACTGTTAAGTCTTATGAACAAAAACTAGAAAAATTATAGACAGCTTTAAAACCTTTTTAAAATTAAAGACTACATGCTTTTAAAAGAACAACAACAACAAGAACCCTTGCAGTTCTTCCAAAGAATCACAGCTTCATCAGATTTTCTTCTTCTGGTTTTAAGTTACTAGGGGTAATAGACGGGAACTTCAACACAAAGGAAAGTTTTTAGGCATCGCTTACAAGCTCATAGTCCATCGCACTGCCTTCCTTTTATTTGAAAGTGTGGGGAGATGCTCTGCTTAAGCCTGCTGTGTTTCTCTTTTTAGATCATGCAACAGATGAGCGACCACCGCTACGACAAACTCACTGTGCCTGATGAGGTGGCTGCAAACTGTATCTATCTAAATATCCCTAGCAAAGGCCATGTCTTGCTGCACCGAACCCCAGAAGAGTATCCAGAAAGTGCAAAGGTAAAAATCATCCTTCTTGGCCACTGCACCTAGGTAGGCCTCACTGACAGTCTCCCTGTCTAGGGATTTTTTTTATGTTGGAATGACAAATAACAGGGGCTTCTTTTCCTCTATACTTATCAAATTATTAGGAAAGCAGAAAGGATAATATAATTTAGGGCACAAGAAAAATTTATTTAATTCCCTTTCCTCATTCATGTCATTGGTCACTAATGCATGCACCGAAATTGAGTTGATCGTGCCTGGTAGTCAGAGCTTTTCAAATAAGTACTTGTGTTCCAGCTCTGATTAAATGTTCTTCCCCACACTCAGATACTCATTAAGCATACAATTAGGTAGTCTACTGTATCATTGTTTTTGACAAATTTGAGCTGCCCCTCATCAGAGAATCATTCGTTTCTCAAGGCAGAGGTGTAGGAATGACCCAAAGAGGTGGGTGCTCATTGTCAGGGCTGCAAAAGGAAGGGGCTGCACATCCTAGGTAGCATAATAAGCATTAAAAACAAAAAACAAAAACAAACAAACAAACAAAAACTTTGTCAAAAGGTTAGAGCTGGAAGAAATAGAGTACACTTGGAATCTACCAACTGGTCCCTCTAAAGGTTTCTGCATTTGTAATCCAATCAGGGAATTGTCCCTAGATAGAGAATTCTTTCCTGGTCTAACAAAATCTTCCTTGTCATTAACTGCTTCTGAATTCAGCCCTGTGTCATCATCAGAAATGATAATATCCACATTTACTGAGGGCTTCCCCTGTGCCAGGCACTGTGCCAAGTACACTACTACATGCATTATATTATCAATTCCTTAAAACAGCCCTATGAGGGCACTATTATTATTCTAGTCTTTCGGAGAAATAATCCATGGTTCAGAAGTGATCTGATGTCACTTGACTGACATCACAGTGTAGGTAGCGAGTTGACAGAAGTAGATTTGGAACCTGACTCTGTCTAGCTCCAGCACTCTTAACCACTGCAGTGAATTTTAAGGAACAAAGTGCTTCCTAAAGGAGCATGATAGATTGTTTTTTAGGCAGTGTATTTTCAGGTAATTTTTTTTAATGTGCTTTGTTTGATTATTAGAGAAAAATCTGTGGACTGTTATTTCAAGTTTAGGCACACCCTTTCTATGGGTGTCAAAAGATGCTATAAAATTCATAACTGTAATTTAAAAGCAGTTTGAAATACTTTGTTTGAATTATATTTTGTCACATTTTTTCTAATGGTGTTGATAAAGAAAGAAACGTTAAAGTATAGTTGAGAGAGTTTTAAAGTGTGGAGAGAAAGTGACATTCAAATTGAAAACACAGCCACCACCTTTCCTGTATCACGTAATCCACAAACGACAACAGCAGAGTAGAAGCATGTCTAGTACCAACCACATTTCTGACACATCTCTGACTTTGAAGTTAAAGCACAGAGCTAGTGGTTAACCAACGCTCCGAGCTCTGTGGGCATGTGTGTGGTCTGGATTGCATGCACGGCTTGGGGTTAAATGGGTGAAAAGCCTAAATTCACAACCAAATTAATTCTCTACAACAGGCAGTAAGACAGAAGAAGAAACATAATTATTCTTCTCTCGCTCTCCTTGATTCTTACTATAGGTTTATGAAAAGCTGAAGGACCATATGCTGATCCCCGTGAGCCTGTCTGAACTGGAAAAGGTGGACGGGCAGCTCACCTGCTGCTCGATTTTAATTAACAAGAAGGTAGACTCCTGAGTGGCAGTCTCTCCTGCAGCCGGCAATACTGAACTCAAAAGGCCAACAACTGTCCCCTCTCCTGTCGTTTTCATTGACGATCTACTGTGCCACTGTGTGACTAACTTTGGTTTACAAAAGTTTAATTTTAATTTTAATTGCTTTGTTCTGCACCTTCCCTTCCCTCCCCTCACGGTGATAGCCCCTCACGGGTGATAGCTAAGCTGTGGATTGGCTAAATGAATTAAGCAACCTAGAAAATGTAGAGCTAATGAATTATTGAAATGTGATTAATGGTTGTAAGAAAACACTCATTTAGTGATTGTATTATCAGTGTGAAAATCATTTAGTTGCCAATATACGCTGAAGAATGTGTTCTTGATCAGTCAGATAAGCTGGGGTGGTTTTGTTTTTTGGGTTTTTTTTTTTTTTGTATATCATTTATCATCTTTGCTTCCTGTGAAATTCCCTGGTCCACGAATTTTCCTCCCTTCCCTCTTTTTGTCTTGCAACTCTGAAAACTTTTTTTCCAGTTACTTTCTTTGGCTTTTCTCACTTCTATCACAGTCACCTTGACCTTGGGTAAAATTAGGAGTTTTGCCTACCGGATACCTTCCTGCAGGTTCACCCTGTCTGCCACCTGTCTCCTCTGCCTCATGGCTACATCTTCTGCCACTGCCCCAACTCTACCCCAGAGGGGCAGACAGAGCCCTCAGCAGAACTGTGAACAAAATCAGAGCTGCTGTTTGGGGGAGAGTTCATCACACAGAAGCACATCCTGACAGGGTTTCCCCAGAGATCTAAATTCCAGAAGAAGTAGGGCATCACACCTAGGAAGATAAATTCAGCACCAGACGGTTGCTAGGGGATTGTAGATCAAGAAACTTGGAAATATCCATGGGTACAACATCTTAGAAAGTCTTTAAGTCACATTCCATGAATTTTTGCTTCATTACTATCCACGTATAGACCTTGGGGAAATTCTTATTTTTTCTTCAGCTCATTTCTATTTCCCTCCATTGTGACTCACCCTATTTCCAGCCTTCTACCCCCAGCAGTTATCCTGGCTTAGCAAAGTTATTTCCTTCAAAAGAGACATCACATCTAAAAATGATTATTGATGGTCCAGTGCGAGCCAAATAGAGCATGTTCAGGAAGTGATTGGCTTGATGCTTGAAACCAACTGCTGACAATGGACAATTACACTTTAAAATATCCATGAATATTTACTGTGGAATTCAATTAAAATTTCTTTTCTCTCTAGCCTTCAGATTGCAAAATCTTAAACTGACACGAATCTTTTACATAGAACAATGCCTCGGTGAAGGGAGAGATCATTGTCTTTTACTTAACCCTGAAAGAATCAGTCTTTTATTTTATTTTTTGATGGTAAATTACTTTACTTGTATTTTATTTTATTTTTATTTTATTTTTATCATGGCAACATTGGTAAACGAAATCCAGTAAGTTTTAGGTGTGCAATTAAGAATCAGTCTTTTAGCAGGCCAGGGAAATGGTACTTTCCAAGGAATGATGACTGATCCAGACACGTTATAGAACTTCCGAGTCATCTCCACCTTTCCTGTATTGCCTGTGGCTTGTTGTTTAAGAGTAAGAATCAGGGAGATTAAGAAATACTACTTCAAGATTTGCTCTGCTCACCTGTGTGTATGTAATCAGTCACCTTCATTCATTTCATCTCCCCCTTAGCAAATGGAAGTGATAAACCTCTGAGAAAACCGGGACACATTTAACCACTTTTTGTCTTTTTCACGTATTTGATGATTTTTTGCCAAAATGTGGAGGAATTTCTTCTCCTCCTTCTCCTCCTTATTGCTTAACTTTAAAATTCAGTTCACATGCAAATATCTAATTATATGCATCCTGTGAATAATCCTTATCTTAGTCAATGCCATATTTCCAACTGTCTTCTCATGGGTGAATAATATGTTTTTACGAAAGAAAAAATAAATGTTACCCACATGCCCAAGTTAAGAAAGAAAAATTGTCCTTAGCAGTTACGGTTGCCCTTTGGGGTTAAATATGGCCTTGTGGTGGCAAAAGTAGACATCCCCTGTGAGAGTTCAACATCTCAATGCAACCACAGGAAAACAAACCCAATCAGCTGGATTAGGCCTAATGTTAAAGTTAACTGGCATATAATTTTCAATGTCTTTACTCCTAGCATCCCAAATTAAAGAATGGTTTTCTATTATGTTTAGTCAATTGCAAATTATTAGATTTTTCTTTTGAACAATTTGTTTTACAGAAAGCTGTTTTTCACTTTTCCTTTCCTTCTTTCCTTCTCTTTGTCCCAAGAAATCACTTAGAATCTGTGTGCCTCTTCTACAGAATCTTATTCTGCATTGCTATGTCACCAACTAGGCTGGCTTCTTTGGACTCCCTATGTGATATGATAATGTGAAAATCTAAAAGATTTGCAGCGTAGTAGTATTACTTCCTTGGTATTCTCATCAGCATAATGTTATCTTTGAAGAGGAATGATAATCTGTTACATAGGTTCCCCTCTTGTCCATTGTGATTTATAAGACTAGATTAACTAACAAAAACTGCTTTTTGACATTATAAAGACATTAGTAATTGTACGTAAGTAAGTAAAAGTTGAATTACTTGATCAGTCAGTAAGATTCAATTTAATAAGGATGATATAGAGAAAGTACATTATTTAGCATTATCTCTTCAACTGTGTGATGGATTGCTATAGAAATCAATAAGCAGATCTCACTAATGTGTATTGATTGCTCTTTTAAGCTACTGTGAACAGATTTCTAAGGCCATCTCTTCATCTCAAAGGGGAGAAAATAGTCTGTAGATAAATACCGTGACTTATTTAGAGTTGCATGTTAGTCTTTGTAATTATTTACTCTTTAACATTCTACAGAACTCAGACATGACTTCCACACGGTGTTAGGTTTGTGCATTTTCTTGTACTGACCATCTCGTTTCAGCCAATGTATGGTTATCCACATTGTGTGCCAAAACCAGTAATGCCTTTCACAGCCCTGTAGTCCAGAGAAGTTCTGCACTGATTTTAGTCTCTTGCTGTCCTGATCCTACAAGTATACCAATCACGACAGAATAAAGTGTGAGTTGTACTGTGATCAACAGTGTATGTCTCTTTTTTTAAAAAAAGAAACAAATTGCTGTGGCAAATGAAGTCATAATTTCTTTGCTCTCAGAGATGGGAAGTTTTCTCTCTTCTCCTATAAGCTATGGAATTGTGACTATAAATCAACTGCCATGAGTAGCTTGGATTAAAATGATAATTGAAGAGATACTTTATTTCAGGCACCTAAAAAGTGTGCGTGCTCTCCACGCTGCATCGGAAGATTGTGCTTTCACGCGCACTCCTCCCTAAAAGGTTTCCCTTGCTCCCTTTTACTCCTATCTGGTCAGTACAGTGCACAGAGGCAATCGAACAAATTTTCTCTTCACTCATACAAGAGTTTGGGTTTTTGCTTTTGTTTGTTAGACAGTAAGCATATTTTAGGAAATTTGAAGATTTCTTTAATGAGGCTTTTTTATTTTTTATTTTTATTTATTTTTTTAACACCTACAGCACCTGGTATTCCTAGGTGGTCTCCCATCCAAGTACTAACCAGACCCGACCCTGCTTAGCTTCCGAAATCAGATGAGATCAGGCATGTTCAGAGTGGCATGGCCTTAGACGAGGCTTTTTTATTTTCAACAATTTTCTGTCTAAAGTAGCTTCATTTTCTTTTTCTGATTGTAAAATTAACTGCTCACTGTAAAAGTAAAATTTGAAAAACACAAAAGAAACTATAAAAACAAAAGTAAAGAAAAAAAATTATCCCAAGTTTTATCACCTAGAGATAGTTGCTGTTAACATTTTGGAAAATATCTACACATCTCTGAATAGATGTAAATATAAAATAATTTTACATAATCATGCCATTCTATAGCCTGCTTCCTTCACTTAGCAATATATTAGAGCATCTCTCCATGACAATAAATATAGATCTATATGATCAATTTTAACAATTTCCATGATACTGTTGCTGAAGTAGCTCTTTCTAATTTATATGGAGTGTTACATTACAGATGTTCAGTATCTGAGCTAGTAGCCGAGGGGTCTTCGAGCTATCAAAAATGCATTGCTTCTAAGGTTTCACTCACACCCAGAGTTAGTTCAATCTAGTGTCTTCTTATTATAACTGAATGGTATGAGCAAATGCTCACCAGAAGCACAGATCGGTACTAAAAATCCTTGCAGAGGTCATTGATTCAATCACACCGTCTCAGCTGGTGTTGCATTGATTAGATCTGCCTTATTCAGGTTGTCATTGATCTGGGCAATGAAGCTAAAAAATGCCATCGGCCACCCCTGCACACATTCTGTGGCCACCTAAGTGCCGGAGTGCTCCTCAAAGCGGAGAAGGGAGACACACTTTAAAGAAAGAGTTGGCAGGGGTTCCTTGACTTCCCAGCCTTCCAGAAGGATGGAGGAAGATAAGAATGAGAAAAATCCTCTCTTATGATGAATTGCAGATTCTGGAAATGGGAATTTTGCTGACTGAAGAATGCTAGCCAACAATAGTTTTGGATACGTGAGCACATGTTTAACATACCCACTTTCTGCCAGTCGCTGGGTACAGCTCCTGTCTTTCAAGAGCTGACAGTCTAAGACGGGCATGTACACAAATGATTATGACACAGCAGAAAGTTATGAGCACATGTTTAACATACCCACTTTCTGCCAGTCTCTGGGTACAGCTCCTGTCTTTCAAGAGCTGGCAGTCTAAGACGGCCAGAAAAGGAAGACTACACATGTACACAAATGATTATGACACAGCAGAAAGTTTAGTAAGAACTAAAAAGAACAGCGCTGTGGTGGTTCCTAAGCAGGATATACCAGACAGAGGAGTTGGGTTTGATCTGAGCTGAAAGGACAGCTCTGGCTTCAACAGGCCAAGACGGGAGTGCAGGCATTCAAGGCTGAGGAAACAGCATGAGCAAAGGCATGGAGGTAAGAGAGCATGGTGTGCTCTTCAGAAGCACCTACTTTGTGCCAACTAACTCTGCTGGGCCCTGGGGATACGACAGTGACAGTCCCTACTTTCCTGGAATTTACATCTGAATAAGAAGACAGTTATGAAACAAGTTACTGCAAGTGTGATGAACATTATGAAAGAATGAGGTGCCCAGGGCAGATGGTAGGGGCAAGCAAGTGGATTCGTTTGGCAAAAACATAGGAAAACATAAGAACATAGTGAAGTTATGTAGGTTGGAATGTCAAGGGCCTTGACTGTTAAAGTAGACTGAATTTGGCAGTCTGTGAGGATCCCCTGAAGACTTTTGTTTGGGTCAGAGAGCTTGGCACAGCAATATTGTATTGGATAAATGAAGACTGAAACTGGCATTAAGTTTAATTTCTCCAAGTTTAATGTGTCATTTAAAAATCTCTTCTCATCACCAAAATGGAAACTGAAAGCTGTGCAATTAACTCTCTTTATGTTTTCTCTCCCGAAAAATAGATTAATAACACCTTCCCCCTCTCCAAAGGGACATTTTCAATGTGAACAAGATAAAAGGACCGAAAGGTTCTTTGGAAGAAAGATATAATGTAAATATCATTATCATCATCATTATCCTCATTAACTCCTATCACATCAAGTCTGGATCCCATCAAAGTGTCATCTTCTATTTGAAACATCAATCACCTACTCCAGAAATAACTCAAGATTTTCATCATTGATGCCACTAAGCTGGCCTGACAGCTTCCATGGAGAATTCACAGGTTTCCTTGGTAGCCAGCACGGCTGCTCCAAAGACACACTTCCATTAGGGAACTGTTGGCAAATTGGAATGTTTCCCACCTCCCTTCAAACACTCGTTTTTAACTCAGTGAAAGCTGGGCCACTTACAGCATGAGATAATGGGTATCAGGCTTTTAGGAGAACGTGTAAGTACCAAACATATTACCGTAACTATAAATAAATAAAAGATTCAAATCAGTATACCAGCTAACCATTTGGTAAAATATAGTCTGGGCTGGCTTGTAACATGATGGATCCCTAGGTTTTGGGAAGATCCCTCTATTTATAAACAGAAGGCTTAGTCATTTGACTATGAATACAAAGAGCAAGCTTGAGTGAATCAACACAGACCTAAGAAGGTAGTTTGCTTTTTCATAAGCTTAAACCTTTCAAAACTGATTTTTTTAAAAGTTCTTACGCATGGACAAGGAAATTAATTGATTTGCTCAGACTTTGGGATACCATGTCCATCCTTGGACCGGGATGCCAAGGGTTATGTGCTGAAATTTCCCACTATTCTGCAACAGCACAAAGACTCTGCATATTTCACAGTAATGCAGGGGAAGTTCAGGAACTGAACAAGTCCTGAGTCTGAGTGGCATTTGAGCCATGTAGAAATATTAGCTCTTCTACCTCCAGAAGAAGCTTGTGGAATGAACAGATTCATGAATCCAACAGAGGCTTGAAATTCCAGGGTAGGATATGAACAAAGTCACTTATTTTGTTTACTGGGACCCAGATGAGCATATGAAGTCCCCTAGAGATAGTGCTACAACAGCAACATGGGGCTTTCTTTCTTTCTGGGCTTGACGGTCATTGAGGGAGATGGGCAGAACACTGTTACCATGGTGAGATGGTAACAAGGAATCTGTCTGATAGGAAACAGGATTCACCCCTACTTGAATCAAATAAAGAGATTTCATGAAGGTCTGTTTCAAAGGTATGGGTGTTAAGGGAACAGACAAGAGATGGTGAGACACCCAGAAAACAGCTGTCAGCAGTACTCCTAGGCCCAACAGGACAAGGACAGGAAATCATACCACTGGATCTGACACAGAGTAGGGACCACTGCTCTAGCTAGAGATCAGGTTCCAGAGCAGGGAAGCAGTGCCTCAGCCTCTCTTCTCACTCTCTGATCTTCTAGTGCTCCCCACTGACTGAACAAAACTACAAGCTGGCTAGTGACGGGGCCCACGAGATGACCCCAGCTAGGGTCAGCCTCATAGGTCCCAGGGCTGGTAGAGAAGGGCAGAGGAAGGATCTTGAGAGGATAGACGCTAATCGGCACAACGCCAGCATGAACATGAGCTCGTAGCCCGTCAGAGTGGCCATCGCCGGCTCTATCTCTCAATGTTGGCATTTAAGTCATATTTCTTGCACATGCCAGTTATGTGGTCTTATTCTCTCTCTCAATATCAGAAAATGATTGGAGAGAATCAACAGCAGAACATTAGTCTGCACAACCTGAGGGTGAAAAGAATGTCACATTCCAGACCCATGAGTCCTGGACCTCTTTAGTAAGCACTGTGTTAATGCTAAAATTAGAGCAGTCTCTTCGGCACCTGGTGTCCAAAAACAGCTAGTTGCCTTTCTACAGCTATGCCCATGACCTGCTGGTTACACAAGGTTGTTTAGGACTCCAAAGAACCTGTTTTCTCTGTTTCCTCTTTTGTTTGTACATACAGCAGACCTTGCTAAGTACAAGCTGCTTTGGTTTTACTTAGTTATGTTGCTCCTGGGAATAATAGTCTATTTAATAACAGTGAGTTCCTCGTTCCTGGGGGTATTCAAGTAGAGACCTAAGGATTAGAGGAGCTGTAGAGAGAGATAGATAACATCTAATGTCCTTTATCACCCTGGAATTCTATTATCCCAGGCAACTTTCCTTTGCCCTCTGCCACCCTCAGTCTCCCAAAGGTATAAACATTGTTCTAATCTATTCATTAACAATAATAAAGTTTCCATGTCCAGCATGACAGCATGAGATTTGTGAACTAGTTCCCCAATATAACTGATGAAGATTATTATTTTAAAAACAAACATTTAAAGTCTCTGGAAGTTGATTATCAAAACTGAAAACTTTTATGCTTCAAAGGAATTATCCAAAAACTTAATAGACAACCCACCAAATGGGAGAAATTATTAGCAAATCATATACCCATAAGATATTATATCTTGAATACATAAAGAACTCTTACAAGTCAATAATAAAAAAGACAAGCCAACTTTAAAACGGGCAAAGAATCCAAAGAGACAGCTCTCCATATATCCAAAGAAGATATTTAAATGGCCAATAAACACACGAAAAGATGTTTGTTCTCATT